ATCTATCTATCTATCAATATGTTCATCAAATATAACATAAATGATATTTATTTGATTCTGCAAGCATCTGATAAGTGCGCTCTCGTCACAGCAGTCATGGATCATGTGAAAGGGCTGTGATGATTTCCGGGTCTCTGTGGTGTTACAGGTGGACCCACACAGTCCTGCTGAGGAACCAGCTGTTCAACATCTGCTTTCTGCATCAGTGCTGTCTGGACTCAACCTTTCAGAGCCCTCGCATCCATCAGACGCTCCCGACGCCTCCGTCACACACAAACACAGGCTGAAATGTCAGCCGCTTGACTCTCCGCACGCTGTGACACACACAGAGCGGCTCACGGCCCTCAAAACCAGCAGAGACCGTCTGCTTCTGCTCTGCAATCGCTCTTTCTTTCGACTTGCTAAAGATAGACATGAGCACAATCCCCATAATAGCACTTTTGAAAGATTTCAATATACTCTGGAAACCGGCTGCCGCTTTTCGACAAATGTCAGATATCAATGGCAAAAAGTGCACTTGGATCAAAGTTATAATTTTGTTGTCTGTATTTTTACTCCCAAGGCATTTAAATTGCACGTCTAGCAAACAACTACCAGACAGTCAATTTACCAAACTAACTAGGCTCACAACTGTATATTTTGGAAATTTATAGTGGAATTTATATTAAATTTACATATCGGAAATTTATACAAATGTAATTTTTATTTGTTTTATTACAGTATATTGCAGATTTACAATTTATAAATGTAATTTTCATTTATGATATTATATTTTTACAATTTAGAAATGTGATTTTAATTTATTATATAATACAGATTCATTTATTACATAATATATAGTTTATTTACAATTAATTAATTTTACAAATTTACAATTAACATTTTATAATAAATTATGCATCCATCCATTCTCCAAACCGCTTATCCTATAGGGTCGAGGAATTATATTATATTACATTATTTACAAATTTATAATTTACAAATGTCCACAAATTTAATTTTAATTTGTCATACCTTGTATATTCACAACTTTCCAACAAATTTATACACATTTATATTTGATTTACAATTTAAATTATTATATTACATTTTTACTTTTAATTTACTAATTTCTACAAATTTAAATGAGTTATATTTTATTTACAATTAATAAATGCTAACAACAACAGCACTACAGTTTGTATATTTTCAAATTTCAAATGTCAGCCATGTAAATTAAAAATTACATTAATTATTTGAATAAATACTTAAAATAACTTAAATTAATTTATTTAAATATGATTTAATATAGCAGTGGCTGACTCAATCATGCAGATTTCAGGGGTAAATATGAGCACTGTTCTAATACCTGCAGGTCCAGCGCTGGGAGAGGACGGCTCAAAGACGCTGGACGAGTCGCTGTTTGTGTTGGACGCCTGTTCGGACAGCTTCTTCTTAGTGCTGCCATCGGAGGGTTTAGGGTGAGATTTCTTGTTCTTGATGAGGATCTTTCCAATGAGCTCTCGAGGGCTTGGCAGAGGAACGCCTGGCTCGAGCTGAAACGCCACAGCAGAATCTGTCATGAGAACACTGGATGCACGCGCCGCTAAAAGAGCAGGAATGCATGTGGGAGAGATACACTTACAGAATATTTCTCCAGAGTCTCAGTCAAAAGAGCGTCCCCGAATATGGATCGGCAATATTCTGCCATTTTGGCTTGCTGTTTGGGGCTTCGATGCAACAGAAACACAATTAGAGCTGCCATCAGTGCACAAACAACGCAGAACAAAATTAGCGTCTGTAACGTTTGCTGCATAATCAGACAAAAATTTAATCTGCAGACCTTTTCCATTATATATTCAATGATTTAGGGGGAAATTTTGTAGAATTCTGCAGAATAGATTTAAATATAGCAATAAATAAAATGTAGTAAAATCATACTGCAATCTGAAAGCATAATAAAAGAAAAGAGTCTAACAGAATAATATAACATCACATCACAAAACATAACATAACATCACATCACATCACAAAACATCACATCACATCACAAAACATCACAAAACATCACATCACATCACAAAACATCACATCACAAAACATCACATCACATCACAAAACATCACATCACAAAACATCACAAAACACCACATCACAAACATCACATCACAAAACATCACAAAACATCACATCACATCACACCACAAAACATCACATCACAAAACATCACATCACACCACACCACAAAACATCACATCACATCACATCACAAAACATCACATCACACCACAAAACATCACATCACAAAACATCCCATCACACCACCCCACAAAACATCACATTACATCACATCACATCACAAAACATCACATCACATCACACCACAAAACATCACATCACAAAACATCCCATCACACCACCCCACAAAACATCACATTACATCACATCACATCACAAAACATCACATCACAAAACATCACAAAACACCACATCACATCACAAAACATCACATCACAAAACATCACATCACAAAACATCACATCACAAAACATCACATCACAAAACATCACA